AACAACAACAACATCTCATTATATATATATTTTTGTTCAAGATGCATTTTAAATATGAGGGATGAGGAGCTGCAGCTAAGGAAAATCAGTACAGTGGTGGGAAAGAGTAGCTCATGATATAATGATGTTTGTGTATGGTAATTACAAAGGACAGATTTATATAAGTTCCATCATCCAACTCACAGTAACTTTTCCTGAGGTTGAATGCTCTCTCTGTTGAGACCAAGAACTTACCTGCAGCCCTAGTTTTACCTGTTGAATCAGTATGTATTAACATTTGCTTAGTGATCTACTGTATTGGGCTCCATTACATTAATTGGGTAATGCCCATGATGTGTTCTATGAGGGACAACAATAGAAGCTCATGGAGGTTAAGTAATTCAAGTTATAGACATAGCAAGGAGAAGGGCCAAGTTTTGTCTTATAAAGCTCACAGCTTTATATGTTCTGTTGTACTGTCCTTAAGTGATAAAAAATAACCTCCTACTAATTTATTCAACTCCTAGAATTTCTCATTGGCATTGAGTACATTCTAACTTAGTGATCCTAGAGTAGAACTGTACCAATACTGTAATCTTTACAGAGGCTGACTGCCATTCACTCTCCCACAAAGAGGCTGGCCATTCCAGTTGGACCCCCTGCTGAGATTTTCCATTTCTACCCCAGATATGTTGTTAAATGCCTTTGAGTCAGTTCTGACTGATAGCAACCTTGTCTAGGATTTCCAAGGAGCAGCAGGTGAATAGTGTTAGCAAGGATCTACATGTTAGCAAGATGTCTACATAAGAATTGTTGTTGTTGTTAAGTGCCCTTGAGTCGGTTTAGACGTAGAGCAACCCAGTGTTGGGTTTCCAAAAAGCAGCTGGTGAGTTTGAACTGCCAACCTTGTGGTTCAAACTGACCTTGAGATTGAGTGCTTATCCTATGGCGTCACATCTGGGGTTATATAAGAATGACCTGGGCATCTTATGAAAATATAGATTCTGACTCAGTATGAGGGGCCTTCAAAAAGTTCACGGAAAAATTTCATTATCTTTTCTCTCCATTTTCCCATGAACTTTCTGAAGGACCCCATATATCTGGGAGGAATTCTGGCGGCGTTGCTGTAGCATCAGCACTGGACTGAAAACCATAAGGTCTGCAGTTCATACCCAACAACTGCTCCTTGGAGACCCTGTATAGTGTCGCTATGAGTCTGGATTGACTCAATGGCACTTAACAACAACAACAACAATAACAAATACAATTCTTATGTAGACATCTTGTTAACATGTAGATCCTGGTTCACTATTTACAAGCTGCTCCATGGAAATCCTGTACAGGGTCATTATGAGTCTGAATCGATTTGACAGTACTTAGCAACAATATTTATGGGAGTGGAAATGCAAATTCTCAGCAGGGAAGTCAAACTGGAATACACTGGTTAAAAAGTCCTGGTTCACAGCACTGACGTTTTGATGAGCAGCCAATTACTTAACCACTTTTCTAGAACCTTGGATTGTCTATAATATGGAACTCAACTTATGAACCTAAAGAGCGCTGGTAGTGTAGTGGGTTACGCATTGGGCTGCTAACCTCAAGGTCAGCAGTTCGAATTCACCAGTGACTCTGTGGAAGAGAGATGAGACTTTTTTGCTCTTGTCTGTAAAGATTTATAGCCTCAGAAACCCTATACAGGGTCTCTATGAGTTGGAATTGACTTTACTGACTACCACCACCACCACCACCATATATGTAGCCAATCCCATTTCCCATCAGGAGTCTTCCCTTAGATTTTGCTTTAGACAAATTCATCTCTTCTATCACTCTGGTAGCGTAGTGGTTACGAATCGGGCTGCGAACCTTAAGGTCAGCGGTTCGAAACTACCAGCCGCTCCGCGGGAGAAAGATGAGGCTTTCTACTCCCGTAAGGATTTACACCCTCGGAAACCCTGTACAGGGTCGCTATGGGTCGGAACCGACTCGACGGCACTTAACAACAACAACATCACTTCCCAAGTACGTGGTGCTCATTGCATGTTATAATGAGATGCCTGTGCTCCTATCTGAAGTGCTCTCTGTCCTTTTCATCCATCAATCCTCTTTATCCATGTATAGTCCCCCTCCACCATGAACAATTTCCCCGTGACTCTCACTGATTTCTTCCCTTGCTTTCTACAGATGGGATACTTTTTACCACATCTTGGGATTTTATTTACCAGTTGGTTCACATTTGTATTTATCTCCCTAACAAGCTTGCAATGCTTTCTAGGAAGCAAATAATAGCCTTCTTTTAAGCTTACTACAGCTCCAAGTGGTTCAATGCACACAACAATAAGTGCATGCTTATACATACACATGTACACATTCTCTCTCAACATACTCTTGGCAAACATAAATGAATAAAAATCAATACATTTTCCTTTTTAGTTTGAGCCCACCCTCCTGAGTCACATGTTTTACTGACAGAGTCTCTGTTTCACAAAAGAAATTCTTAACACTATAATTATAAATCAAACGCTTACCAAACATTGTTTTTCCTTGTAGGAAGCCAGGCTATATCTATCTGCTGGCACGTGTGTGACTACAGGATTTGGGGACCTTATGTCTAGGGCAGTCTTAGCCAGATTTCCAGGACCTTATTAGTCTTACCTGTTTAAGATGCTCACTGAGAGCAATCCTCAAGCTGCCATTTCTTCTGTTTAACATCTCACAAGTCATGAGGGTATAGAAGATTGCGGTGCACACCAAAGGCATGCAGAAATAGAACCCAAAGAGCCACCAGTCCTTTACATCTTGGTAGAACTAGAACGTGAAGAAAAGAGCGAGAAAAAGAGCATGAAATTGAATGTGCAGGGTCTCAGCGAGCTTCAAGATCTTCATATAAACAGATACGTGTATATATTCATGCCCACTAGGTTACAATGATGGGACCACGGGAAAGGGTGTACTCAAAACTCAATTCAATTTGCAAGTCCATGAATAACACATCAAGAAAATTCTTTCTAAAAAAATACTTTTTATAATCTAAAGTTGCTTCTAGTTCCTCAGTGAAAGAGCTCTGATCAATTAAAAAAAGAATTCCCTTCCAATGCTTTCAAAATGTTTTTTTGGGGTTACAAGGACCATATATTTATCTTTCTTCATTGATGAGTCTTAACATTTTGCTAGTGTCTGGTTTACATTTGACTACTGTGGTTAAAGTGTACTTCATGCTGACATCTTGTTTGGAAACAGTGAAGGTTATGAATGGCTTATCTGTGTAGCCTTGGTTAGTGGGAGTTAACCCTTTGCCTGGTATGCCTGCTATGTGACCTCCTAGCTTAGGGAGCCCATTTCAGCCATCAGTAAGAAAGCAGGAATAGTCTTTCTCCTGCTGTTAATATTTACCACCTGTAAACCATTGAGGCAGAATCTCTTATCTGAAGGCATATTTAGCATTATCTCCCTGAAGGCAGGATTTGTAAACACCAGGATTATCCAGGTTTTTATTTTTATTTTTTAAGAACACTTAATACCAGATATAATTAGTATTGGAAAATTATATCTAAAATTTTACTCCCACTAAATTAATCACTGACTTGGGAAAGAAATGCTTTTCTTTTCCTAATAATGTTTCTCCTGATAATTTATTTACTAAGGATAAATCAGCCTACTGTAATAACTCAGTTCCCACAGTAAAAAAATTTGACTGTGCTGTAAAAAACTGGTCATTTTCTGAATATAGAAAGAGACCCAGTGGGCTACATTTATAACATGTCTATTAAAATAATCTATAAATGTTTCCGGGGGGAAAAAACTCTAAGCGGGGCTCTTAACTATTTTTATGCCATGAATCCCCTTTGGAAGTCTGATGAAAACAGTAATTCCCTCTGAGAATAATTCTTAAATAAAATATAAAATAGAATAATGCATAAAATAAAATGTATAAGGTTATAAAGGGAACTAACTCTACTGAAACACAGTTATCAAAATATTGAAAATAAAATTCTGACCTAGTAATATAGGAGGGGGGCTTCAAAAAGTTCATGGAAAATTCAAATTAGAAGAGAATGGAGTTTTTCTGTGAAAGTCTGAAGTTTCCTCATCAGTGTTTTCCTTAGCCAATTAAATAGCAAATCTAAAGTTGGCTCTAATCACTAATAGTATAATTGAAGTAGTGATAAGAATAAATGGTATTTTGAGATCTCACAGCAATTGTCCTGGTGTGGCTAGGAAGGATAATCACTGCACTGCTAACCTCAAGGTTGGTGGTTCATTGGAAACCCTATACAGGGTCACTCTGAGTCGGAACTCACTCAACGGCACTTAATAATAACACAGCACAATTATCATGTGATATGAAAATGCCTGTGATTTCTATTTGTGAAAAAGTCATGGGTAATGATAAACATTTCTGTGTTTTATTGTCTACATTCATGATAGAAGGATGTGATAAATTTCAGTTTGTTGCTGTTGTTGTTGTTAAGTGCTGTTGAGTGGCTTCCAACCTATAGCGACCCTGTATAGGGTTCCATAGGTGAGGCTGCGGAGCTTGACCTGCTGACTTTGCGGTACAAACCCGCTATGCAGTCCAGTGCATTAACCCACAGCATAGTGAATATATATAATTTTCTTCCTATTCAAATTTACAGACTCCTGTTCTCAGGTCAAGTACCAAATCTCAAAAGAGTTGGTATCCTCAGATTTGCTAACGCAAATATTTCTATATCTGTATCAGGCCCTAGAAAGATTTAAGCTCTGAACTTCAAAAAAAAATTGAGAAAGGACTCTTTCTCTTTTTAAGCTTAACACAAAAACTCCTTTGAGCAGTCTCCTTTTGTGCCTGCTCCTTCCTGGTGCACTGCTGGCAGGGTGCGAATGGCCCAGAAGCAGCTGCAAAGGGTCTGGAAGCTGACCCCTAAGAGAAGGGAAGAGTCCCCTGCCCCCTCTGCATTACAGGCCTGCAGAGAGAGGGGCCACACATTTCTTTTGAACTGATGTCATCAGCAAGAGTGTGGAGATGCCTCCTGTCAGTCTAGGTTAGAGCAAAGTTGAAGAGAAAAGAGTAAACAACAGAAGTGAAATAAAGTAAGAAACAGAAAAGGCCAGGAAAAGAAAGATAATACGTAGACTTTAGACTTGAAATGAAATCTAAAACTTTAACGGTTCAAACTCATATCCTTTACTGCAACTCTCTCTGTCTGGAGGGTAAGCCATCGTTTGCTTGTACGTGTCTATACTGGAGACTCAGTCTTCAGGAATCAGCCCATTTCATTCTACCTCCAATGATTAGTAAGTTTCTTCTTCCAGTGAGTGTTTTCTCTCCTTGTTTTAGTCTGGAATATCTTTCCAAATTCTGATAACCACCTACTGTCTACTTTGTTTTTCACTGTGGAGACTGGCCACATAGAAAAAACTAGTAGGTAAACAGAAAACCTCAATTTTAAGGTTGCCAGCTTGGCAGTTCTTACAAGCACTTTTAATTTGAAAATAAGAGTCTCTGAGCAGGATAACTAGTCAACTGGAAAACCACTAATTTTGTGAATTTTCCAAGTTAAGAAAGCATACCTTGAGATGTCTGTAAACCATTAAATGTGGAATCTGAGCTGCATGAAAACTCACATCAAAGCATTAAATTATGCTGACTTAAGTGAAATAGTTAGCCTTTTGGTTTTCCTCTTCAGTCCACATGTAACTTGTTTTGCAAAGGAAATATGCATTTTAAATATGTTCCCTAATACACTCAGCCATGTGATTTAGCTTTTCAGAAAAACATTAATGTGGTCAGGTACATTAAGTCAAAATACTTTTTAAAACAAGCTCACCAATTTTCTAATTTGTATATTTGACATAATTCTATACTTACATATATATATATATATATATATATATATACACTTCATTCTCTGAATAAGTCTATCTTTAAGAATGTGAATGAGTAGTGTGTATTTCTCCAAGTAATATAGAATAAACATCAGTATGCCCTTCAGATATTGTATCCCTTACTATAAAAATAAGTAATATTATATACACATACACCAAGGGGTTCAAGAAGTTCATATGAAAATGGAATAGAAAGATAATGAATTTTTATGTGAAAATAAATATTTGATGCCCATTCATATATTCTAATCTTTTTTTGGTAAATTTGCTTCAGAATTTTTAGTTGTTTGATACAGAAAAATAGTGTGTCTACAGTTGTTCAACAGTATAAAAGCTAATTTTGTTCCAGTCAAGAAGCTAAAAACTGGTTTTATATCTACTTTTTCTGCAACTGAAGAACATATTACTGAACTGGTGGAGTAAGTCACACTTGTATTGTGGAGAGGTCAAATTTTAAGATGTTGCTGTGTTGTGTTAAGTTCTGTTGAGTCAGTTCAGACTCATAGTGACCCTGCATAGGGTTTCTGGGAGTTCTGGTATGGCGCTATAGGACCAGCACTGGACTGCTAACCACAAGGTCGGCAATTCTAACTCACTAGCCTTAATACAGGGCCACTGTGAGTCAGAACTGACTTGATGGCACTTAACAACAACATAGGGATTCTGAGGTGTGACTGGTGGGCTTGAACTGCCAATTTGTGGCTAGCAGTCCAGTGCTTATCCGACAGTATCACAAAAGTTTTAAGGTGGTGAAAAAAATAAATAGACACTTCTTCCTTTCCCCAATTCATTCTTTGTAAAGTATCCTCACTTCCATGAATTTTGATGTGGCATTGAGCATGCAGGTTCTGTGTTGTTCACCCTTGTATTCAAAGGGCACCATGACGAACCCGACTGCTTCAGGGACTGCCAGGATGAAGGAAAGGATCCAGATAGAGACAATTTCAATGGCGGTGACCAACGGAATCCCAATTCCTTGAACACGACTCCAAGAGGCAACTGCTCTGTACCTGATTAAAAATGAAAAGAAATATGAGGAGATGGAACCAATTAAGAATACCTTAAAGATCATTGTTGTTGTTGTTGTTAGGTGCCATCGAGTCCATACTGACCCATAGCGACCTTATGCACAGCAGAAAAAAACACTGCCCGATCCTGGGCCAACCTCACTATTGTTGCCACACTTGAGTCCATCGATGCTGCCACTTGGCCAATCCATCTCGCTGGGGGTCTTCCTCTTTTTCTCTGACCCTCCACCTTACCAAACATGATATCCTTCTCCAGTGACTGGTCCCTCCTGACAATATGTCCGAAGTAGGAGGGATGAAGTTTGGCCATCTTGGCCATAACTAAATAGTATTGGCACTATGGAACTGAAACTCATTTGAGGCAGAAAGCTGGTAAGCTACATTTTCTTTCAAAATGAAAACTTAAAATAATAATCATTGGGGAAATCTCTGCCATTGATCAGATTCTGAAAGCAGCATATAAACTATTAGTGTGTGAGTGATACTTGTTTTAAATGAAGGAATAGAGTTAGAAAAAAGAAATAATAAAAGAAGATGGAAGTAAAGATGGCAAAGAGTCGAATAAATTTTGGAATGGCCCCAAATATTATCTTTTTTCCTTCATGTGGGCTTATTGTTGTTTTCCTTTCATACTTAATATAAACATATATATGTGGTTATGAGGAATCCTAGTGTGGTGCTATAGAATAAAGCACTGGACTGCTAACCACAAGGTTGGCAGTTCAAACTCACCACCTGCTTCTGGGAAAGCCTGTGGTGGTGGTGGTGGTTGTGTGCTCTGGCGCTGGTTCTGACTTCTAGGAAAACCTGCACAGAATTTCCAAGGTTATAAAACTTTATGGGAACAGAAAGCCCCATCTTTCTCCCACGGAGCAGCTGGTGGATTTTAACTTCTGACCTTCCAGTTAGCAGTACAACTCATAATCCATTATGCTACCAGGGCCCCTTTGGGAACCCTATACAGGGTCACTATGAGTCAGAACTGATTTGCTAGCACTTAACAACAACAGCATGTTCATAGAACTATAGGCAGTCTCTGGAGTTAGGAATGGTTGTTGTTGTTGGTGTTGTGTGCCATGGAGTCGGTTCTGACTCATAGCAACTCTGTACAGGGTTTCTGAGGCTGTAAATCTTTACGGGAGCAGAAAGCCTCATCTTTCTCCCACGGAACAGCTGGTAGTTTCGAACTGCCGACCTTGCGGTTCACAGCCTGATTCGTAACCACTACGCTACCAGAGCTCCTTTGCTTCTAATTGTGTCTTTAAGAACTTGTAGGTAAATCAGAACATGTGCATACTTGTTCTTATTTCAATTTACTTTAGTGGTGGTGCTGTGGGTTAGGCACTGGGCTACTAACTGCAAGGCAGCCAGCCAGCTGCTCCACAGAATCCCCATAGAGGGTTGTTATGAGTAGGAATCAACTTGATGCAAGTGGTTTTGAGTTTGGAGTTTTATTGCAAGAAATGGCTCAAAGCCTTTTCAATGTAAAGGTGATGTGATGAAGAATTAGTTGTGACTGCAAAATGCACATTCTCAGAAGGGACTAGTTTCTCTTAGAGAAGGACATCAAGAAGCTTGGTAAAGAGGAGGGTCATTAATGAGATGAGTGACACAGTGGCGGCAATAATGAGCTCAAATACAGCAACGATTGTCAGGATGGTGCAGTATTTTGTTCTGTTGTACACAGGGTCACTATGAGTTGGAACTGACTCGATGGCATCTAGTTTGCTCAACTGTTTCAAAATGAGGGCAATTTTATATAACACTGAAGAGCAAGTTGCACTGGTGGGCCTCTGTAGGATCAGCACTGGACTGCTAACCACAAAGTCAGCGGTTCAAACCCACCAGTTGCTACTTGAAAACCCTATACAGGGGCATCATGAGTCAGAACTGACTGGGTGGTACTTAACAACAACAAGAGTTTTTAGGAAGTCTAATGTTTGTAAGCTGGGGAGCCTGTACTTAATGTGGGTCAAGATGAAGTGTGGTCTATGGGTTGCTCAGAGACTAACCATCAGCTTTGTTAGGAATTTTCTGTGAGCCTTGTTGTGAAAAACACATGGGGCCACTAACAGTATCACCACTGGAAATCGACTGCCTGAGTTTGAGATCTTAATTTGGGGTCAAAATAAATAATAAATCTCAAGAAGGTGAACTGGGGGAAAATGGATGATGGAAAGGGTGTGAAAGCTGCTTGTTCCTATTGTTGTTGCTGAGTACCATCGAGTCAGTTCTGACCCATAGCAACCCTGTATAGGGTTTCTGAGGAGTGGCTGGTGAGCTTGAACCGCCAACTTTGTGATTCAAACTGACCTTGCAGTCCAGCGCATTAACCTTCAGTGTCACACCATGACTTCTGTCCCTGTTATATTAGTATCTTATTCCTTCTTATATGTTAAAGAAAAAATAACATTGAAGCATTTTTTATGAAGTGAGTCTAGGTATCCATAAGTAAATAGCCATAATAGATATTTCATCATTTCGTCCCTCAAAATATGATCAGAGTGGCCTTGCACTAGGTGGGAGTTTTAGTAAATAAATAATATTTCTGAGAAGTGTCTGAGGATGGCTATATTTCTCCAATTATGGCCTTGTGATAGCGCATATAAAAAAGAGTTAAAATGACCTTGGTTTCAAATCTTTAGAATTTACAATCTAATAGAAAAGAATGGCTTATACAGCATAGGACATTAACATAACTGAACACGTATGCCTATTAAAAAATAAATAGGCATTAATAGATTGTGCTTGTATTATTTCTTTAGTATTTTTTTAAATCGTAATAATCACATTTAAATTTTAAGTATAAAGGAGGTTTGGTTTCAGAAACTCTATATTCTTTGACCTGATGTTATGGTTTAGTGCTAACTGCTTTTAGACTTTCTATTAAGAAAGGACTTGTGACATAGTATGGTATTTTTATGGCTTCATTCTTGACATTTTATTTTCTGTTGTAATGGAAAAGAAACATTCTCTTTTTATAGCTCTCATTAGATAGTGCCAGAAGAGGGCTGTAAAACAGACCCAGGATTGGAGACAGGTGAACCTGGGTTCACAAGGCAAGTAACTTAATAGAGAGTTTGGCCAAATAAAGACAAAAGCAGTTATAAGGTACTCACATCAGCCATGATCAGCCCCTATAGCTTATATTTGGTATACAAACGGTCACTCAGTGAAATGCACTCCTAAGTGTGTCTTTAAGAATTTGTAGGTACGTTGAAATGGGAGCATATGGTTCTGATTTAGGTTTACTTAAGTGCAAGAAAAGGCTCGAAGTCTTTGTCATCATTTAAAAACTGCATGCCGAGCAAGTGAAGGGAATTGTGATGAAGAATTTGTTAAAAGTAGGAGTTGGTTCAGTTGTTTTAAATGAGGACAAATTTACATAACATTCAAGGGCAAGGAGGAGTTGTCCCTAAATAAATTCATAACAAGGGGACTGCTTGTTCTGTCTCAGAAAAGTTAGAAAAGGGGTATCTGTGAGGATACACATCTTAGGTTCATTGCAGTCTTCCTTTGTCATTGCAGTTGCCTATGGATTGTTTGTAGAGCTGTTGAGTCAACCTGGACTCATAGTAACTCCATGCGACAAAGTAGAACTTTTCCTCATAGGGTTTTCTAGACTGTAATATTTATAGGAGCAGATCACTAGCTTTTTTCTCCTGTGGAACTTCTGGGTGGGTTCGAATCACCAACCTTTTGGTTATTAAAGGTTTAGCTGATGTGCCATCAGGCAAAGTGTGTTGCTTATAGATTAGAACCTATAGATTTGGTAGCATGATGCTATCCAGATGGCATATACGCAGCACAAATTACTGGACAGTTGTTCTGCAGAAGATTTTTAGGGCAAATGAGATGGGTGTACAATAACAATCGCTAAAAAGGTCCAGATTAGTTTGGGAAGGAATGAAACAAAGCTATGAAAACAGACCAAGAAAATCCTTTCACTGTATAGCCAAGACTGCATTTTTATTTTATGGGTTATTTCCAGTGGGATCAAGACAACTGTTTATTTTGCTTTCCATTTTTGTTTACTTTTCTTTGTTGCCTAATTAGACTGGCAGCTTGATGTCCAATAAAAGCTCGAGAGAAGGGAGGTGGGGTGTCTGTATCCCAAGGCTGTCGACCAGATAGATTACTATTTGTTCTCAGTTCAGCTTCCAGGAAAGGTGATTTAGATAAAAATACCTTGTTTTCTCATGAAATTAAGAAAGCCAGATTTCTAGGCAGGATTGAAGGCAAAGGTGGTTTGAGTTAGAAAATGTGGTCCGCATGTTCTTACGATAAATAAATTCACAGAGTGTTGTTGTTGTTAAGTGCCTTGGATTTAGTTCTAATTCATAGAGTCCCTGTGTAGGGTTTCCAAGGAGCTGCTGGTAGGTTTGAACTGTTGACATTGAGGTTAGCAGTCCAGTGTTTTTCCTATAGTGCCACACCATACCTCCATTCACAGACTAAATTAATTTTATAATGAGTCACAAGTTCTCAGAATACTACATATCTAATCTACTACCTTTGGTGGCTCCATATTACAACTATTGGTCTCCGAACCACAAGGTTGGCAATTGGAGGCCACCAGCTTCACCATGGAAAAAAGATGAGGCTTTCTGTTCCCTAAATGATTTACAACCTTGGAAACCCTATACAGGGTTGTATGAGTTGCAACTGACTCAATAGCACTTAACAACAATAACACGAATCTACCACCTGTCTGTCAGTTTGTTGTGTGGTGACGGCTATTGCTGTGATGCTGTAAGGTCTGTACTACTATTTAAAATCCAGCAGCGTCATCCGTGATGGATAGATTTCAGTGGAGCTTCTAGACTAAGAAGAAAGGCCTGCTAATCCATTTCTGAAAATCAGCCAATGAAAACCTTATGGATCACAATAGAACATTCTTATGTAGTGCTGGAAGATGGTGCAGGACTGGGCAGTGCTTTGTTGTTTTATGTAAGGTGGTCATGAATTGGAGTAGATCTGAT